TGCTCTGGATCGATGGATTACTCAATTTGTAAGGGATTACTCAGCTTGTAAAACCATGCAAGTGTTTTAATAAATGCATTGGCATGGTTTACCTGGATCCCCAAATTTTGCAAAACCATATTTTATGTGCTTGTATGAGGAAGAAAGGTAGGAAGAGAATATTTTGCACACATCTCCCTGTACATCATTGCTGCATCCCACGCTGTTGGGTGGTTACTGTGTAGATGTAGAACAGGATGTGGCTTGTTGTATTGTAATGTTTATTCCTAGCAAGCTGCACTGCTTGTTTGTATGTAGAAGTGTTAAAATATTTAAAGAAAAATAACTATGAAAAGGAAGGAACCTTAAACTTCAGCATATTATGTAATCTGCTCCCTTCTCAAACTTCTGGCACATTCTGTGTCTTCCAGGTGTTGGGTGAGGGGAGCCTGCGGGTGTTGCTGGTTTGGTTGCCAGCCTGTAAGCTCCTTGAGCTGAACTTGTCTGGGTTGCAAACCGTCTTTAATTGTAGCGGCTGGGCTGGAGAGCATTGAGTTACACCTTCCGATCTTCACAGCCCGCCACCCAAAATGTGACAACTGACTTTGTTCATGTTTCTGACTCCATGAACTGTTCAGCTTGATACCAGTTACGTGAAATTAAGCTGCAAAAGAAATTGCTTTGTAAAGATTGTCAAAGGAGAGCATGGGATAAGGGATTTATAATGGGGAATAAAGGTTTGAAACTCATCGTAAATCTATGGAATACTGAGTCATCGTTGGTATTTCCTGCAGACATACCTTTCCGACATTGAGGAACAATATCGATAGCGTATCGAATTGGGTTATCTTAACTGTTATTTAAGTAATGCTGATTGAAGCAGCGTTGCCTTCCAGGAGAGAAGAGCTGGCAGGTTCCCAGACGCAGAAGGGAGGGTGAGTCAGCAGCCACGCCGGCTTCTGGGGGCAAGCGTGACTCGGCACCGGCTGAGCGCTCTTCATCCTTCTGGCGGGTTGTTCCTCTGCACCATTTACCTTACTTGACCAAGGCTGCAGTGCCAGCGTTGGCAAGTCTGTCGTCGTCATTGCTGTGCCAGTTTCTTCTAAAAAATTGAGAACAGAATATAACATTTTTAAACTTTAAAGAGAAAAAAAAATTACTCAGGTTGCAAAAGAATTGTGAAGGTTTACTGACGCTACAGCGTCTGTTTGTGTGGGGATACAGCCTTGATTCAGGCATCGGTCTTACACCTGGATTGTCGTTCTGGTGTTGGGGTCCCTAGGGCAAAACCTGAGTTCTTATAAGGCAAGGGACTGGAGAGGGAGGAAGGGGGAGAAGAGGAGAGGTTTAAAAAATTTGTCGGAGCGGCACAGAGGGTTATAGGAAAGGCCAGCCCCTACGCCCGTAACTGCCTCTATGTGCCAGCCCAGGCAGCAGGAACCGGGGCGTCTCCGCTGCTCGCTCATTAGTGGATGGTGAAGATCTTGGATGAACTATTTTTTTCATTTAGAGCGGTGCCTTCAAGGAAAAAGAAAATATACAGAAGAAAACCCTTGGAAAAGATGATCCTGAAACTGTGGGGAAGCGGGTGCATGAGTGGCTGAAGCAAACTGCAGAGAACCTGGCGAGGAGAATGCTTCTGCCGTGCAGAAACACAAAGTGAATAGTCGTCATTTTTGTTCAGGGGCTGCCTGGGCAGGATCTCTCTTCCCAGAGAAGCAAAAATCCTGAGGAGTGGGACAAAAGAGCTTGAAGAGCTGCAACGACTGGCCCTGAAACCCCTGCAGTTCACGTGAAGGGTTTTTTTCCCCTTTCGGCTAGGAGAGGATTAAGTTGCCATTCATTGTCTTTCTGAGATGTGATGGTTCCCATAGCAACAGTCTAAAACTTTTGTTTGACCACAAAATTATATGATTCCTTTGAATCCTGATAATCCGGAGCCTTTCTGTCCCTTTACTGTCAGGAAATAACAAAATAGCTTTCCGCCTTGACCCTCCAGTGTTAATCACAGCCTTCCTGTTACTAGGAAGGTAAATACTCATTTTACAGGTGAAGAAACCGAAGCGGATGGGATTCGTCGTTTGGTGGAGGCCGTAAGGGAACCGCTGGAGCTGAGCTCACGGCTCCACGTGTTCAGCACTTGCCGCCCTTCACCGGGTGTGGTTGCTCGGTCCACGCAATGCCCGCTGTAGCCGAGCGGGCCCCAGGGTGACCTGGCTTCCCAGCTTCATTTACACCTCGACCTGACTGGATCAGTTTGACTCTTCTTTATCTTCCTGACCCAGCTCCTTTGTACAGCTTGGTCTCATTTCTCAAGTGCACATGACGGATATTAAAGAGGAAACACCGGAATAACCCTCTTGTTTCTCTTGCCCTCAGGGAGACATTTTCCTGAGTTAGTGCTGATGTTGCTGTTGCTGGTGTCTCTCCCTCAATTCTTTTCCTCCTTTCTCTTTTACAATTTCAGGGGGTTGACTGCTGCCCTACGTGGAATTTTTATTACTATTTCTTGCCTGCTAAGGCAGCCTCTCCCAGCTTGGGACTGCAAATGGTACCAGAAGGTCTCGCACCGACGCTATGCCTGGGTACCGTCTGTTAGAGCCTCACAGCACGTGCTCTTCCTTTTAGACCAGGTGATTTTCACCTTTCCATGTTATTTCATTAGTCACCAGGTAAAATCACTCCCCAAATATTTCTCGTTGCAATCCAGGCTTCTGCCAGGCTTCTGCCAGGCTTCTGCCAGGCTTCTGCCAGGCTTGCAGCCACAAGCAGCAGCGTAAAGTGTGCCGAGCCCGTGAGCCTTCTGGTAACAACCAGCGCTTGAAATGAGCTGCCCTGGGTGAGCGTTCCTCAAGATGGAACACGAGGATCCTGCCGGTCCTTGGTTCTGGGCTGTGTTGAAGAGAGAATCTTTTTGGTCAGCTTGGGAATTTTTCTGTTTGTTTGGTTTTTTTTTTTCCTTCGAAGGACACTTCAGTGCTTCAAAACCAACAGGCAAGCTGCCGCTAGCAGTCTGCGGGGATAGGCTTGCGTTTTCACAGCACTGTTGAAAACGTGAGTTACTGGAAGAGGCCCTTCCTGTGGTGAAAGACTTCTGGGAATGTTGTTAAAAACGGTGAAAACATTTGCAATAAAGCAGTGACAGAAGTGCATGCTACAGACCCAACTTTGCTGATTCTCTCCGAAAATCTGTTGTTTCCTGACAGTCTGCCCGGTCAGATGTCACGCGTGATGAAGGCACAGGACATATTAGCCAAATCCTCCATGATTTTCCCTAATCCCCATCTTGGAAAAAAATACCCAGTGCCTTCAGATAGTCCCTAATGAAAATCAGGCAGAACTTGGAAAGCTAAGATAGTTACGTGTAAAATAAGGAAGCAAAACCTCCCGGTGTTACAGATGAATCCAGAATTAATCACGTTAACGTTATTTAGAGGACAGGTTGTCTCGAGAGCGTCAACAGCATTGGGGCTGCAGCGTGCGACGTGGGGCGTAGCCACCTAATCCAGTTTGCTCACCTTTTCTTGTCCGTGCGTTCCCCCAGGACACGTGCCGTGGCACCCTGAAAGCGGTCTGTATCTTTTTCTAGATAAAAGGAATAAAATGCACGCGATTTATCCCCAGAAGCTCCAGAATATCGCGAGAGGTAGACAGACCCTCTCGGGTCCGGGAGGTAAGTCAAAGCCAGAGCTCATCCTGAGTAGCGGAGGGAAATTATTCCCGCGTGCGGGTGCCTGGGATAGCTGCCTTCCTCTGTTAATGGGGAGCAGGGTTTTGAAACGCGTACGATTCGGCCTGCGGCCTTCGAGATAACCCATAAAGTCGTAGAGATTCAGCCCAAGGAGAAAGAGTTGCAACTACAAAACAAGCCCTGGGGCAGAACAGGGAGCAGTTAATGGTAATAAAAAAGCTCCCGTTGCAAACACACGTTGGAAATTTGTGGATAGTGTTAATATTACTCTGAATTAGACTTCTTTTCTGTAATATTTTTTTTTTTCTTTTTACACACAGTGTTGCGGGAATAGGACACTTGGAGATTGGGGGGAAAAAAAGGAAATCTCTTGTCTTTTTAACTGAATTTAGTAGTCACTGCCTGTGGCTTCTGCCCCTGGCCAAGCCGGAGCGCCAGCAGCTACTTGAACAACCCGTAGTTCCCTGCAGCTGCTGGAGTTGTTTGGGAGTGTCTGCATTGCAGCGTGCCGGGAGATTTGGGGGGTTTTCAGCCAGAGGGGATGTGCAGCCGGCGGGAGGACGTGCCGGAGGCTGGGGGAATCGCGGGGGATCGCAACCGCAGGCCCTGCGGTGGGGTTTGGGCGGCCGTGGTTGGGTGGGTGCAGCTGGCAGCAGGGGCTGGGGAGGGCTCCTCAGTCCCGAGTGTGCACGCGTGATGCTCTAAAAGCACAGATGCACTGGCCCCTAGCAACAGCCACAAATGGAAATGATAGAAATGATGGAAAACAGAACAGAAAAGGAAAAGAAAAGAGGTCCTGACGCCTGGGGCAGGAGGAGAAACCCAGAGAAGTCCCATTGAATTCAGAAGGCTCCGTTCTGCTCTTCCCCCTCTACTTTTACAGCAGTTTCCCCCCCCCAATGCAGCTCCTTTTGTGCCCCAGTGCTGGTGCAAAAAAACCCAAACCCCACATCTAAAAACACCGAGCCTGTCTGGGATCCCTCCTCCCCTCGCTGTTTGCCTAAAGCTGCTGCAAGGTTTGGGTTTTACACCTCAGCCTAGCTAAACCAGACCCAGGACCTGGCCCTGCAGGTGGGCACCGCCTTGGAATGGCTGGTTTAAAAAAAATAATAATAAAAATCAATGAATTTGCTTCTTTCTGCTTTCAGCAAGGGAAAAAGCGGTTTAGAGCAGACAAGAAAGGGAGGAAGAGGAGGAAAAACCATCTTTCGCCAGAGCCCAGCTGGGGCTGCCCCCTCCAGCTGAGTCAGTCCTGCCTCCCCGCAGCATTGCAGCACCTCCGCAGCTCCCTGCGCTCCTGCAGCACCCGCTCCGCTCCCGCCGCAGCAGCATGGCCAGCACCGTCTCAGGTAGGACAGACACCTTTTGCGGGGGGCTTGCCATCAACCGGCTTATACAACCGTCAGGTTTTATTTTTTTAAATCATGATTCCAAGGGTTTGGGTGGGTTTTTTGGGTTTTTTTCCCCCGTGCGGTTCAGGGGAGCTCTTTGATGAGGAGGCAGCTGGTATGGCAGCATTGTTCCCCTTCCTCCCCCAGACACACACACCCCTCTGATGCAAGATAGCAGGTGGGCTTTTTATTTTAATATGAATACACATGTGATAAACTTGCCAATTTAAAATACTGCTGCCGTTACATTGTGCCACAAGAAGATGCTGCTGCCTGCCAATTAATTATTATTTTTGTAACGTGATGCAGCTTTTTTTTTTCCCCCCCAAAGAAAAATTTGCAGGCTGTGTAGCTGGATGCAGAGAAATCAGCAGTTACACCCTGTTTTGTGAAGATGGTGCATTGCCTAAATGGTTAAACTGGAAAGAAAGACACAGGCAGGAGACTGACGGTAATGCCCCAGAAAATCCCCCAAAGCCAACCAGAACAACCTGAATGGGTTTCTGTGTATTCTCAGGGCTTCCCACCCCTAGATTTCTTCCCTGGCTCACGTTTCTTCGCTAGAAGATGCTACAGGGGAGCGGTCCTCTGATGGCGTTGGGCGAAATCAAATGCTGCAAGGGAAGCCCTTCCTCCCTCCTGCAGCAGTAACGGGAATCACGGCGCGGCCGCCCAGGAGCCTGGCGCCGGGGTCGGGTTTGGCTGCAGGAGGGTCTCAGTCTGCCCCAAGGATGCTGTGCTGCTTCGCTCCAGCCCTTTCCTAAAGATGTGCCTTGTCCCTTCTAACTGGGGAGGAGGGATTCAAATGGCTGAAACTGGGAACGTGGGTGAAGGAGAAGAAAAGCCTGAAATGGTACAATGGACAGTGGGTGGGTTCAGAGGGGTTTTTTCTCGAAAAAACCCCCAAATTTTCTCTTGAAATGGTTCTGAATTCTGCATAAAGAGGGGGCTTGGGCGGGGGAAGCTGAGCCCTGGAGGGTGGGATGTGGGGCTGGAGAGGAATGGCAGACAAAAAGGAAAAGCAGGGGATGCTTTCTGCCCCCCCC